CACACACACACACACACACACACACGTGCGCACGCACACAATGCTGCTCACTTGTGCAGGTACGTCAACATCACCATGTCCGACAGGAACTCGATGAATCAGCGGTGAGCGTCCTCAATATATCACAAATGCACGTGCGAGATGCGAGTCTGCGGGAGTCTATGTGTATACTTGTGTTGCCGACCAGCGGCACCGCAGTGCGTAGCAGGGGCGGAATTGAACGGGGAAAGGATGCCGGGAGGCGAGGGGCAGAGGAGAGGCAGAGAGAGGAGTCTAGGGAGCATCGCCCGGCAGGCCGATCGGCACGAAGTACCGATCGACAATGGCTTCCTGCAGGGCACGACCGAGGCTGAAAGCGCCACTGGCATCGGCTCCAGACCCAAAGCGCTCCAGGTGCCGGGAGGCCACACCATGGGCCTCGTTGTAGCGCTGGCCTGGAGAGCAGTGCACAAAAGCACACACATGGACGCGAGGACGGACGTACAGTTAGTCACAGGTATGCTCCCATGGCCAATCGCCATAGGGGGCACACTAATACGCAGAAGGCAGCAATGGGACGCACCAGTGAGGGCCTCGCAGAAGCCATGGAGACGAATCAGGAGTGCCTCCTGGGAGATGGGATGCTCCACCGGCAAAGGCGGCGCGGAGCAGCTCTCAATTTCGATGCCGACGATGAGGCCGCGCTCGCTCTTGAGCCGGAGGGACTGTGCCAGCCGGCCAGCAACAAGCAACTGTCAGTACACGTCGGCGGGGGGGGGGGGGGGGGGGGGGATGGTGCGACAGGCGAAAGGCCACCAAGGCAGTACGGGCAGTTCGGCGGCTGTGGCTGCCAGGACACGCACCAGCTCCCAACCGCCGACATCTGCGCGGATGGCCTGCTCGAAGTTGGGGTTTTGCCCGTGGAACCAGTCCCATGACCGGAGTTCCTCATAGTTTTTGATCACATCCGGGATGATGCGCATGGTGGCCTCCGGCATGTGGGTGAACTTCGTGTCGCACGGCCAGACACGGGAAAAGGAGGTGGCCGCGTGTGAGTGAAAGCCGGCTGGGGAGGGAAGAGCCGGGCGGAAAGGGGGCGAGGGGCGAGCGCAATGGAGAGCGATGCCCGGGGGAGAAAGGGACGAAAAAGCGACCATGGACGCACGACAACGTCCTTCGGCTCGAAGAAGGCCCGGAGCTCCTCGACCACGGCCTTGGAAAAGTCCATCGCCTGCAGGGCGACCAACTCCCCGGGCTGGTCCTTGGCCGGGACACGCAGGTTGCGCACGGGCGAGGAGACACTCTTGACCCCGCGGCTGGTGATGTTGAGCTTTGAATGGGAACAGGAACCAGCCGCGTGGGGCGAGGTGACCGGCGGAGGGAGGAGGATGTGTGAGTGTCGCCGCGCTCACAAAGCATGAATGGAGTGGGGAGAGTGAAGAGGGTGAAGAGAAAGACAGGCCGAGAGAGGGAAACAAAAAGGCAAGGAGGGAAGACACACCTCGGCCTCGCCGGACAGGGTCCCGCGGAGCATGTTTAGATCGGCCGACAGGAGCATCGTTGCATGGTGCAGCGCCCGGTCGCGAATGATTGAATATGCCGCGCCGGAGACCTGGCACATGGTTATCGGGTTAGCACACCAAAACGCAGCGGACGCGAAGAGGGAGCACGGCAGGAAGGAGGGGGGGGGGGGGGGACCGGCGAAAGGAGGGAGCTGCGCACCTTGTCCCCGCCGACCAGGACATCCTGCCGGGCGGAGGTCGATGCGCCGTCAACCACATCCAGGCGGTTCAGCGCGCCGGCAATGATGTTGGCCGTCTCGGCCTTGTCGAAAATGGTTCGATGGCTTACCAGCGACCAGTTGGTGTTGCCAAGATCCTGCGCCCCCAGCCCAGGACCGAGCCGGAGTGGAGGGGGGGGGGGATAGCGCAAGCGGGGAAGACACGACAGCAGGGCCGGGGTGGGTCGGAACAAGTCAGAACAAGGTGGCCCGGGCACAGGCGCGACGTGACCGGCGCCCCCGGGTCCGCTCCAATCGCCCGAGCGACCGAGGGAGGCAGGGGACGAGACAAGACGCACGTGGAAAACCGACCCGCCGCCCGACCGGCGCCGGACCAGAGCAATGGGCTCCCGGCCGGGGAGGCCATTCAGGTGGGCCAGGCGCCGGGGGTTGAGCTCGGTCCAGAGGTTCTGGTTTCGTCCGACGACAATGCACGGCCGATTCTGGTAGAACATCAGCACTCGGGTCTTTGTCACGTCCAGCGAGCGGAAGAGCCTTCATGGTGGATGGCCGGATGGGGGGAAGGGCGAGAGGGGGGCCCGGATCAGCATGGGTGGCCACGCAAGCACAGACATCGATGGACGGGCGAGCAAGAGCCCGAACTGGGGGGGGGGGACAGGGGCAAATCACGCCACGCAGAACGCACCACTCCTCGGTGGCAAGGTTGAGGAAGGGGTCGGTGGACTCCAGGTAGAAGACATTCAGTGTGTCGGGCGTGGCCTTCTCCAGGTTGTAATACTCGTCGGGCACGACATTGGGCTTGGGAGCCGCGGCTGGCGTGGTGGTGGCGGTCGCCGCCGCATCACCAGAGTAGAACGCCGCCACGCGCAGGGTGACCGCCGGGTGGCCGGCCCGGCGGAGGCCCCGGGCAATCGACGAGAGGGCGGGCAGCATCCGAGGAGCAGATACCGAGGGCGGGGAGAGACCGGCAGGCAATGAAGTGGGGGGGGGAGGTGGGGAGGGAAAGGGAGGGGAGGGGGCGCTGATCGGCAGGGGAGGCGGCCCAGCTGCTGGCCCGGGGCGCCCCTTGGATCTCGGGGCAGGAGACACACACACACACATGTGCCCGGGGCACGCCGATCCTCGAGGGGGGAGCCGGGAGCCGGAAACCGCGGGGGGGGGCAAGGAAAGGGGGGTCAGGGGTCAACCAAAGAGCCCAAGCATTCCCCCCCCGACTCGCTCTCTCTTACTAACTTTCTCCCTGCAGGGGAAGCGCGCGGGGCCCATATCCCCTCTGCCTCAGGAGCGATCATTGACTTCGC